CACATAATATAAGTTTCTCGGGTATAAATTATATATAAAACCGCATATTTGCAAATACGTGATAGATATAGTTTTATAGTAAAATTCTTGGCTACAAAATTTGGTAAATATCACGTTCAACATCGTATACGACTTAAATTGACATTGAAGTCATACAATAATAATTTTGAATGAAAATCTACAATGTGTTTATACGAATAATGTCGAAAATTGAGCATGATGGATATATAGTGGCATTTGAAACTCGTTAGATTTCAACTTAGAACTGAAAGCTTTTACAACAAATCGTAGGAACAATAATTCAGATTTCAGATTATTTTTTTATTTGGTGCTTCTAGTTTAATCAGTGTTTAATTTAGAAGTATAAAATATTAAACACTTAATTATATAATTTATTTACGCAAGTTTACTAATGGGTATACGTAAGCTTTTAGAATTTATAATGAAAAGGTAATTTTGCTGCCAAATATTATAATTGTCTGAGTAAAGTATATAAAAAAGACATTCGTATATGAAAAAATAAATTCAAACAATGAATATGTAAATATATAATAATCTATATAATCCACTACAAAGATATCAATTATAGATTTTAATATATGTGATCAATTATCGAGTTAAGTCTGTATTAGAAATGATGTCGTCTCTATAGATTATTTACCGCACCCACCAAAAGTTTTATGTTTAAAAAAAATTTATACTCTATCATTTTGAGAAGAATAAATTAAAATTAATAAACCTAATATATCGCATTTTTATATTGTTAATATATTCAATTTTAGAAAAAAATGTGAAAACTCTAAAAAATTAGTAGTATAAAATAATATTTATGTAGTTTTTCATTACATTAACGAATTTAGTACATATTTTTTAATGAAATTGGCCATAATCGATTTGAAATATATTTGTGTAATTTCTGAATCTGAAATATAATATATCTTAGTGAATAAATCAAATTAGGGGGTGTTTATTAATCACGAGAGGTTTTTAAATGGATGGGGAGGGGGGGTTGATAAAAAAATGACGAAACATCACGTGGGGGAGGGAGGGGTATAGTAATATTTTTTAAAAAAATATTTTCAAAAAAAATTTAAAATTTTACCATTTTTTCTCGTAACTAAAGATATACGTGAGATTTGGAGGGGGAGGGAGGTGTTCAGAAATCCTTAAAAGATAAATCACGTGATTATTGGACGCCCCCTTAACACGTTCGCAGACGGGAATGCTATAGCATTCATTTTCATTGTGATGCGGAATGACATGAGTTCTATAGCATTCAAATTTCGAAGTCCATTATTTTAAATTTTTATTTCATATAACCCTAAGTTTTTATAATTATCATACTTGCCAAGGTAATGACTAATTGGTTCTTTAGGTATTTTTGTATTATCTTATCTTTTCCTGTAGACACTAACTAGCTTGAGCAAGCACATTGCGTAAAATAGAAGCGAAATACTTGACGTGAATGCCATAGCATTAATCGTATATAACGATCAAAATATGATAATCTGGCAGTCCTTATAAACGTTATCAATCAAATTTGGATATCACAACCAATTTAAAAATAAAAAAATGACACAATTTTTGTACCTTGCTTACTTAAACTTTTGCTGTCAGCGAATGCGTTAATTATTAATCATATAATTGATATAATATATGAATAAAATTAACTAGTTACTGTGGACTCATTCATTACAGCATTCCACTATTTACAGAATTATTGAACATATGTTGAAATCTGTACGGACAGATCTACTATTTTATGTTTATATTATTACATAGAAACTCCAGACCGAAAACCTTGACACGAACGCATAACAACGCATATTTATACTATGTTTGTAGCTGTAGTCAAAAGCCACTAATATTTTATTGAGGAATAAACCGCTAATGAAATAACAGATGATGTAAGTTTTATATTTGCAAGATATAAAACTTGTCTTATAATTGAATAGGGTCCTGTTTATTTTATTTGCTTGTTTAGATTAATGATAAACAAGTGAGCTATGCCTATTCTTTACACGTAAATACAGTTTGGATGCACCATTTACTAAAACCATCACATATGATGTTTATTATTACATATTTTAGAAGAAGTTTAAGGACATACAGTTTATTGTTTCTATGAAATATGGCTGCACTGCAGAATAATAAGTTTAAGAATATGAAATATGACTACCTTGTTCCAATATATCCTGGATCAAAAGTTTAGACAACCTATTAATAAGAACAACAATTATCCAAACAAAATTTTTGTTCCAGGATACGCTGACCAAGTGAGCTATGCCTACTCTTTACTTGTAATCACTTTTGCACCATTTACTAAAACCATCACATATGATGTTTATTATTACATTTTTCAGTAGAAGTTTATGGACATGGCGCTTATTGTTCCTATTAAATATATACTGTAGAAGAATAAGTTTAAGGATATGAAATATGACTGCTCTGTTCCAATATATCCTGGATCAAAAATTAAGACAAGTTTGGATAATTGTGGTTCTTACTATTAGCTTTCTATTGGCTGTTTCAATACATGTCAGTATTAACTTTGCCCATGCTATAATAAAATTATATTTTGTTCAAATATATTCAGGATCCACAATTTAGTCAGGATTAAGGATTAAGGAATTGGATTAAGAAAGTTCTCTATTGTCTCTAGAGAGCATGGCAAAATTAATGTTGCATCCGATTTATATTTGCCACTTTTACTTGAATTCACTATTATAAAATTGTTTTTAAAAGTGAAGCAGCACGGAATATCGAATACCCAAAAAATATTTGAAAAAATGCGTCGAAAATGTTAAATTTGAGGACACACCGTTTATTAGGTCTCTGAATTATGGCTGTACTGTAGAAGAGTAATTTTAATAATATGAAATATGACTGCCCTAATATATCCAGGAATAAAAATTCAGTCAGGTTTGGATAATTGTATTTCTTATTATCATCTCTATATTGGCTATTTTCCCGTATGTCAGAATTAATTTTTCCTTTAAATAAATTTGCTTCCGCTAGAAAAACTTATATTTTGTTGTAATATATCAAGAAACAAAATTTAGTCTGGTTTGGGTCATTGAAGTTCTTTTGATTAGCTCACTATTGTGTGCTTTACAGTACATCGAAATTAATTTTGCATTTACGCTGGAATAATTTTATATTTGTTATCTATTCTTTTTTAATAGTCAATTTACTGTAGAATGCTAAATACCGAAAAGAATTCAAAAAATTGTGTCCAATTAATATTAAATTGCTTAAATTCGAAGGCATCAGGTTACTGAGATTTGTTGCGCAAAACCTACTTTCTGCATAGTCATCATAAATAAAAATGTAAAGAGCATCGGATCCATTATCTTTTCTTCAATAAATTTTAATTGTTCAATCTAATCTTCGAATACCAATATGATTTTTACATCGCATATAACTTCAAGTTAAATTCGCGCGACCTTGGTAATAATTTTACGAACTGTAACTTTATCGATAAATTTCCGATTTATAAAACCATCTGCTCGATTTATATTTGGAACAAAGATGAAATATGACGAAGTGCTCGCTGGGATTGATGAAAGATCGGCAGATTGTGAGAGGAATCAATTCAATGCGCATTCAAATAGTACAAGTCATAAATAAAAAATTTTAAAAGGAACAACCAGCAATATTTATATTTATATACATATATTTTATATATATATATATATATATATATATATATATATTCAAATATATACACATTATTACATATATATATTATAAATATTTTTAAGCTCTGATGCGGGTAAGAAAGCACGAATATCCTAATATGAAAAATAGAGTGCAATAAAGTCTATAAAAATATGAAAACTTGTGAGAATCTTTTTTTTTAATAGTGATAATTAAAACCACAAGATATTCACAATCACTATAATTTTAGCAACGATTACTAAAACCAGTTCTGAATACAAATAAGATCATCCTGGCTTTCACCATTAACGAATATTCTCAGCTTTTCACCTTTATTCAAAGCGTTTATTATAATTATTTATTTTTGTTAACATTTTTTTATTTATTCATTTAGCATCTATTATACATATACTATTTGCATCAATCTGCAATAAATAATATAATAATCTTAATTGTATATTTTAACATCCCGAACAAGAAGTTACTTTTTACTAGAAAATCCTACTCGCTAATAATTTTATGATTTCACGAAGTTCAAGGAATTTTCAGTTTATGATCAAAAACTATATTCCTGTGTGAGTGTCTATGTATGTGAGCCAAAATTTGACCTTTATCGTTAAAGCTTTTCAAAAACGGCTGCACTGATTTCCAAATTTTTAAAGCCATTTGATAAAGCTCGAGAAAAACTCGTCGTTCTGCGAGACGATCGGCTTGACCATCTCATATACTGAGCAAACATATTATTCACAATTTTAAAAGTTGTTTAATCTCAATTATTTACCCATACCAAAACGTTTTTGCAACTTTTGCCTCAGAACAAAATGCTACTTACAACTAGTAAATGAAAATACTATCCAGTTCCACAATAATTATTACATCCACAACAAATGTTAGCAAAATCTTATTTACTTTTCGTTATTTTTAAATTTGATTAGTCTATAAAATATCCCTGTGACCTACATACATATTTGTTTGCAATTAAAGTTGTGCTAACTTCGTTTTCAAACAACAATGCTCAGCGGCGGATACGTTATTTATGCGGCTTTACTTTGTTTGATTATTTATCGCCAATTCGCGTTTTATAAAAGAAAATCGACCATTAATTGTTTTTTAAATAGAAATGAGTTTTAATAAATATTAATATCGGGCACAACGCAAACAAAAACAAATAAACGTAAAAAATGTTAACTTCAAGTGCAATTGTGCATAGCAAAATAAATCAAAACACTATGTACAGTAAAAGCAATAAAACTATGTAAATTATACTATCTTGCTTCATAATATTTTGTGATTTTAAAATATACTCTTTTTAATGTAAATTTCTAATAAAAAAAACTCACCGATATTGGAAATGCCACGGTCATGATCCGTCCATTCGCAGAACTGTAATTATAAATAAAAATCCGTAAATACAATAGTTTTTTAGTAGTTGTATACTTATTAAATAATAATACTTATTTATATTTACGGAATATATTCAAATTAATTGTAATGACTAAGTTTTGTGAGTAGATAATTGCGCTTCTCTATGCTTAAAATTTAGAATGTCAAATTTGAATTCTAATTCTAATGATATAACCAACAAGATCGAAGATGTATGTTGATGTATAAATCGGCAACTAAGTACAATGGTTTCAATTGATTTTTTAAGCTTGCTGACAAATTCCAACTGTCCAATACTTTATGTTAATGAGTAGTAGTAGTAGTAGGCAATTTATATGTCTATCGATGAAAAAGAGTTTTTTGGTCGATTACGTAGTTTTTGTTTGGCATACGAAAGATGGAAAATCAAATCTTTTATTATAATTTTTTATTATATTATTTACACAAAATGAGCTGTTTATATTTATAAAGCGGCAGTATCAAAATTGGTTTGCATAATTTTGTTTTGGTAACTTCTTGCTCATAGATGGTGGTCCAGTTGAAGCTGGTTACTCTTACTATCCAACCGAACGATCAATTCTGATGACTACATTGAACAACTACCAAAATTAAACAACTCGAGTGAAAAATCGACAATAGATAGATTAGATATATAGTAACAATAGTTTATAGATATCACATATCTTTAGCCACTTGGTAAAAATTATTAGAGCTTCCTTGGGATGTTTTGGCCTGCACCATATAGCCTTGCACCTTCTGGTTACTTTTTGTTTCAGTCTTTGAATAGTAAAACTGCTTGAATAATAAATTTAATCAATTGAATCATAGACAATGATTGTGATAGTGTCCAATTGTATCTGATTCAGCTTTTGCTAATAAGAACCAGAAGTTTTCTGAAAATAGGATCATATCGCAGCTTAAAAGATGGCAAAATGTCATTGGTCAAAATGGACAATACATTAAAAAATGAAGTTTTTCAGTTCCATGAAAAAAATGTCTTTGATTTTCTAAAAAAAAACTCTACACTTACTTAGTTGCCAACCAACTATATTCATCTTCTAAGTTGATTAAAGGGAACATATTAATCTTTTGATCTAAGAAATGCAGTATATGCATGGAATAATATATATATATATATATATATATATATATATATATATATATATATATATATATCAGTCGAGTTTCGGCAGCCGTAGTGAGCACATCGTTCAAAATATTTATTTAATAATTTTAATTGTAGTGAATAGAAGAAATTATAACGGGTTATTATGGATACCGAGCCACCTGACCCGGGTGGCGGTGAGTCACAATCGTTATCAGATGTCGATATAAATACAAGTAGTGAAAGTGAATTGGAGTGGGATAATAATACATATTATGTCACAGAAGGTGACAAAATTCATTGGGTAAATGATACTACTAATATTAGAGATAAATCGGGAATAATTAATAGGAAAGATGGTGAAACATATAGAATTTATAATGAAAATAATGTAATGACTGGTAATAATTCAATAAATGACAGATCGGAAAGTACAAATAAAAAGTTAAAAGCAGATGTAATTAAAGAGGCAAATGCAAATCAAACTAGTGATAATAATTCAGTAGTAAATGAAAACAATGAAAACAATAATAATTGGTATAATATGTGTGTAAAGGACATGGAAACCATTAAAGAAATGAAATTTTATCAAGAAACGGATGAAGGCCCATTCATAGTGCATGCTGAGAGTAAAGATAAAAATATTGGAAGATTTCACCCAATGGCAGTAGGAAGAATCTTTCATAAACATTTAATAAATTTGAGTAAAGATATAGAAGAAATCAGATCAATCGGTAAAAATAAAATAAATATAGTATTGAAAAATTATAAGAGTGCAAATAGAATAATAAGAGAAAATTTATTAGAAATATTTAACATTAATGCATATATACCTAGACACAAATTAATGAGATCGGGAATTATCTTTGATATTGACCCAGAAATAGATGAAAAAGAAATATTGAGCAGTATTCGAAGTGATTGTGAAGTTTTGGCAATTAAATGTTTAAAGGGTAGAAATAATGAAACAAAAAAGGTTAGATCACAACGAGTCAAAATTGTATTTAGAGGTAATAAATTACCGGAAAGAGTTTATATACATTCAGTGAGTTGTAGGGTTGAACCATTTATTCAGAAAGTAATACAGTGCCACAATTGCTGGAGGTATGGTCACGTACAGGCCCAATGTAAAAGTAAAATACGTTGTAAAAAGTGTGCAGAGGAACATAAAATGGAGGTATGTAAAAGTGAATTAGTGATATGCGGTCTATGTTATCGAAATCATCTAGCGGATGATAAAGGCTGTGAGGTTTACTTGAAAAATAAAAAAATTAAAGAGATTATGGCAATGCAGAATATAACATATTCCGAAACAAGAAAGATAGTGCAAAATAATGGATACGCTGAAGCAGTTGGTAACACCAATCAGTTTAAAACATATGAAAGTAGTTACCCAGAAATCATTAATACCACTGCACGGAATTCAAGTACATCAAGTAGTAATAGGTATCAAATACTATCAAATTGGAAGGAAAAAGAAGAATATTATGACAAAGAAGTGTTAATGAGAATAAATAAGCCATATAATAGGAATAATATGAGAAATTTTTACAACAGAAATTTTGAACATCGGTCAGGGGTAGATTTAGTAGAAAGAAATGATAGTACTAACTCAAACAGAAGGAATAAAAGAAATGAGATTAGAGAAATATCAACTGCACGGAGGATACAATTGAGAAGTGATATTATGAATATAATTAAAAAACTAGAGGATCAGAGATATGGGATAGATGTAAATAAAGAAGATAATATGAATTTGATAAAAACAAAATTAGAATTAGTTTTAGAAAGTTTAGGTAAAGGTAGTGAAAAAAAATCATTAGAAATGGTTTATTCTGAAGGAATTGATTAATTATTTATTTAGCAAAGATTAATGTGTGAGTATGTAGGTATAAATTTAAAATTTAAAATTTAAAAATTATGTATGTGTGTATGTATATATATATATGTGTGTGTGTATATATATAAATATATATTGAAAAAGAAATAATAAGAAGATAGTTAAGGTTCTATTGTATTTATTTGTTTATTTGGTTAAGTAATGTTAAATCAATTAATTAATTATTGTTATTAATTTTTATATATATAAGGATTAAATTATGAGAATAATGCAATGGAATATTAGATCGTTTTATGCAAATAAAGAAAGTTTAGAAGAGTGGTTATATAATAAACAATTAGATATAATAGCATTATCAGAAACCTGGTTCAATAAGAATAGGCAGTATAATCTAAAAAATTTTAATTGTATAAGAAAAGATAGGAACGATAATAAAGGAGGGTCGGCATTATTTATAAATAAAAATATAGATAGTAGGGAATATGAAATAAATTTTGAATCAGTCGAAGATAATAATTGTCAAATGTGTGCAGCAGAAGTTAACGTTAATAAGGAAAAAATTTATTTGATATCATTGTATGTTGTTCCCAAAACGAATATTTCAAAAGAGCAATGGAATAGATTATTCTGTAAAATCCCAAAACCTTGTATCATTATGGGAGATTTTAATGTTCACCATTATGCGTGGGGTTGCTCATATAGTGATAGATATGGTAATGAACTATTGGAATCAATTGAAGAAAACAATTTATATTTAGTGAACAATGGAAGTCCGACTCTGGTATTCAAAAATTCAAAAACGGTGGTTGATATAACTTTATGTTCATCAGAAATAATAAATAAGATAAAGTGGGAAGTGCAAAAGGAGTCACTGGGATCTGATCATTTTCCAATCCATGTTGAACTTAATGTGAAAAATGACAAATATATAAATACATCAGTAAGAAAATGGAATTGTAAACGAGCAGACTGGGATAAATATAAATCCGTTATAGAAGAAAAATGCGAAAAGATAGATAATTCTACAACAGAAGTTAGTTATAGTGAATTATTAGATTGGATTGATAGTGCAGCTAACAGCAGTATACAAATTAATAAGGTGAGAAATAAAACCAGAAGACCAATGTGGTTTGATAATGAGTGCTTGGATTTAATTAAAAAACGAAGAGAAATAGAAGCAAAATACAGAAATAATGCAAACTGGGAAAACTTTATGGAATGTAATAGATTCAAGGCAAAAGTAAGAAGAATTTTCAAATTGAAAAAAAGAGAAAGCTGGAATAATTATATAAATAATATAAAACCTAAAACGCCCGCTAGGAAAGTTTTCAAAATGGTAAGATCTATGCTAAATATGGGTGAATCGGGAAATGTAACAAAATGTAGTGATGATGTATTAGATGTTCTAGTAGACAAAATAGCACCACCAGGAGTTAGTTACAATATTGATGAAGATTTAAATGGGTATGCGGAAATGGAAAATGATTTATTAAGTAAACCGTTTACAAAATGGGAACTAGAAAAAACCTGGCATAAAAGAACGGATACAGCGCCTGGATTAAATAATATTCAATATTCAATGTTAAGAAACCTTCCAGAGAAAGGTAAACAAATATTACTAAAGATAATTAATAAATATTGGAAGAGGCCTGAATTAATTGATGACTGGCATATTAATAAAGTGATTTTATTAAGAAAACCAAATATAAATAGAAATGAAATAGATGCCTATAGACCAATAACTTTAAGCTCGTGCATAGCCAAGATAAAAGATAGATTGATAAAGAGGAGGCTAGAATGGTGGTTGGAACATAATAAAATATTCCCAAGAACTCAATTTGGTTTCAGAAGAAAACATAGTACAATGGATAATTTAAGTATATTTATTAGTGACAATGTCAGGTGTTCCACAAGGTAGTATTTTTGGACCCTTCTTATATGTATTATACACAAAGGACCTCCCATTACTTGAAAATCTGACAATTGCTACATTCGCTGACGATATTGCCATACTAAGCAGTAATCACAGTGCTGATCAAGCTTCCCGACAAACGC